TAGAGCTGAGCTAGGGGCCGCTTATGCTCCAGACCCTGGCAGGGTGGCTGGTCAGCCTTGTTTCACGTTAGACGCTAGATGCCACCTGCAGAAGAAAAAAAGAGTTTACCTCTTCCAGAGAGATGGCCCCGAGCCACCAAATTCGCTCTGTCAGCCTGTGCAGCGGCTGTGGCAGAACTAGGTACAACTCACCGTGATTTTCCGAGCGGGAAGGGGTTGAAAATTTACTGACGGGAGGAGGGGGCGGGCAGGGCAACTCCAGTCCCCGGATACTCTGGCTTTTCCGCTCCAGCAAATCTGTTTGTTCCACTCTGCCCATCGTGACTTCTCCGTAATTTAAGCCTTGCAAGTGTCTTACGCCACTCGGCTGTGGCTGGGGGGAGGGGTTTTCCAGGTCGAAATCTTTGCCTCCAAGACCGCAGGGCTGCAGTGACAACAGAGCAGTTGTGACGAACTGAAGTTTTGTGCTTGCTGGGTTTCTGGAAGGAAACAAAAGAGGCAGGACGGTGTGCTGCCTGAGTTAGCAGCAAGGGGCTGACTTCTTCAGGAATTTGGTTTGCATAGTTAATGCAGGTTAATCAAAGAAAAATCAAATCTTATGTTTCTGGTTACGGTGGAGATGTCTGTGAAGATGGAGTAAGCTGCTTGCTGAAATGCAGGAAAGAAGCACCCTGGCATCTGTGTAGCTCTGCTTCGTGATCAGTAACTTATTTGGAATATTTCTGAGCATATTCTATATAATTCCTACAAGCTCTTACAGGCAAACCTGTTGCATTGCTTTAATGATTTGTAACTTTTCTGTCTCTGCTACTCTTAAAACATGAATGCCAAACTTCATGCACGAATAGACTGTAAATCTGCTGCGGCTTTGAGTGGTGACTGCACTCCCCTCGTACCTCTGAGTGCTGCTCTGGAAGGACCCTGTAGCGTGGTGTGTGGCAGAGGGATCAAACCAGGCAGCCCCCGCTCCTGGGAACTCGCTGCCTGAGACAGGCTGGGAAGGGCCATCACCCACTGAGACACTCCCGGCCTGGAACTGAAATTGGGGGCACCAAATATGTACCCATATTGTTCCAGGAGCAGCCCTGGGGAGCTTGAGATCGAGTTGGACCACCTTCCCCAGCCAGCACTATTTCAGTGAGAGAAATAACAGGCTAAACATGACTTTTGTGTCTGCACCAGAAAAGCAGCACATTTTAGTGTGGTTTGTTGGATGGATGCTCACCTGGATGTGTCTGTGTCACGATGGCCACTGTGGGGTTGTTCCTGACTGTAATGTGTGCTGTGACTCTGTGGGGCAGAGTTGGAGAGGCCACACGCTCACTACAAGAGTTGATTCCTTATTCAGGGGGAATAACTGGAACAGGATTTATAATCCAGAGTGTTTTGGAAAGTACGTGTACTGCACAACAAAACTACCAAAAGAAGTAAGGGAGAAAGACTCGGTGCTGACAGGAACGTATTTTGGTTACTCATGCCCAGAGCCACTTTGAACAGCTCTGGACGTCAATCTGCGGTTCTCCACGGATCGCCTGGACCCCTGCTGGGTATGGTCCCTGCTGCCTGCTGGTGCTTGCACAGCCCCCTTGGCCGCCGGGCAGGGGTGACAGTGGCGCAGAGGTGACCAGCGTTGGTAGGTCTCCCCGCAGCTGCACCCGTAGTCACGTCTGCTCCCTGCTCTTTCTCTTCAGTGACCTTCCCTCTGGACCACGACAACGCCGCTCAGGCCCCAGGGCGAACCTGCCGTTCACCGGGACGGAGCTGCTGCCGAGGCGGCCCCGCACCGCGGCATGCTGCGCACCGCGGCTGGCATCGTGCGAGAGGAGGGCTTACGAAAGCTCTGGCAAGGAGCCACGCCGGCCGTCTACCGCCACATAGGTGATTATCTGCTCGTGATGGGACAAGGTTGGGTCCTGCCTTCTGTGGCCAACAGCCTTTTGGAGTGAGCTTGCCATACCTTGCTGTGCTTTGAATATATCTGTGAGGACTTCTTCAGCTTACCCTGCAATCCCACTTCAAAATATATGGGATTATGGTTCAATCCCTTCTCTTCCCTCTCTTGCCTGTTCCTTCACAGCCTTATTCTGGCTTCTTCAAAAACAAAATGTCATTTCCCTGTCATATTTGCAGTACAGTCTTCAGCGCAAGCAGGCACTCAGAGTCCTCAGAGCAATAAATATCTTTTGTTTGAGGGAAGTGGAGACAGGCTGGAAAAAAGATAAGGTTGCAGGCAGTAGGACGAAGAAATGCATTAGTGGTTTGGCCACAGGTAACAGCTTTCTGTGTTTTATTTGCAAATACGGTGACAGGAACAAACCTCAAAAGCACTTGTGGGAGCTTTCATGCTTGGCACCAGCCGAGATGGAAGCAATGTGGTCATGTCTCCTCAGCGTGCGGGCCCAAGCCATGCTGCCTCCTGGCAGAGGCATGGCCCAGCCAGAGGGATTCTCTGATGCCAAAAAGTTCTGGCTCTAACATTGCTACCAGGCAGCCCCCTTGCCTTCTCCTTTCTGACCATCAACGTGAGAGCAGTGGCCAGCTCTCCCAGGCGAGCTCCAGAGCGTTTTACGACCAAACTCTTGACGCCTCTATCACAGTGTGGCCTCCAGAAATGGCAGACCCAAGAACCGTCTCCTGCTTTTGTTTTCCACAGTGTACTCTGGCGTGCGGATGGTTGCGTACGAACATCTCCGTGACTCTGTGCTTGGCAGATCTGAGGATGAAAGCTTTCCTTTCTGGTAATGTTGCATGTTTACGCTTTTTCCCACTGGGGGACTGTCCTTACTGTAGTCCTACAGCCCTGAAAGCTGTCTTTTCCTCCTGGCTCGGCTACCCTAAAGAGGGTGAATATAAAGTAGGGGTTTAAGCACCAGTAAGGACTTTCTGATTTTAGTTTCAGGGCAGTATGTTTTCATTCAGCCGGGGACAAGACTGAGAAATATTGAAATAAGTTTTTCAGAGGCTTAGCTAGGACCGTGATTACTCTAATAAGGAAACTCTGCTGAAGAGATGGAGAAGCCCGATAAAGCGCAGCAGCAGGAGCAGCTGTGCTGGGCTGGCAGGGGTTAGCCTGGGCGAGCACGGAGGCAGCTTTACCGTGACTCAAGCCCTGTAATGCAGTGGCAGCTCTTTTATTGCAGCGTGGGCCGGGGGACGTTGGGAAGTGCAGGTGTGTTGTGGCTGTGTGTAACTGCTGTTGGAGAAGCCGTGAGCTACTGCACAAGCCCGACACCAGCGTGAGTAACCGTGACTAATCCTCCAGCTGCCCGGGCAATGCAAACCAGAGGTCTTGCAGCGTGTGCCCTGCTCAGCTCCGAGGTCACCCGGGAGCTCCATCAGCTCTGCACAGGGTGAGGACACATTTCCAGAGGTACTATGGACGTCTCAGGTACCCTCTGGAGCTTTGCAGAAAACAAGTGAGGGGTGGTACATCCCAGATGTCCGGCTGCTGGAGGAAAGGGTCCCTCTGTGTGTTGTCCAGCAGCGGCACGGCAATGCTTTGCAGCTTGCCGTGCTGCCTGGGTAAGGAATTGTTACGCCACTGGGTTATAAGCAAGGGGAATAGGAAGGTTTGCCAGTTCTGGTGTTGTGTCTTAGCCTGAGAGACAGAATGTTCCTGGCTACTGAAGGGGCAGATCATGAAGCAAAAAACACTGTTTTGTTCATGTGTCTATGACAGATGTTAGCCGAAGTTAAATCTGTGCATCCCTCCCACGGAGACAAGTGATCCCCATAAAAAGCAAACCCAAAGTCTTTGTTTTGCAAGTTTAATTCAGCAACAGATAAATCTCACTCAGCCGCTTTTTTGACAATGCAAGTGGCATACAGCCACAGAATTAACTCTTTGCCTGGGGGAAATGAGCAGATTTTTATAGAAGTTTTGCAAAAATTGGTAATTTCTAATTGTCAGATCGTTATTGTTAAAATGCTAGTCATGTACTTTTATAATCTTACACATTATCATATCCAATCAAGTATTTTACTCCAAAATCAAGTCTTGGGTCCAAAACATAACTGTTTTTAGGATGAGATTTATAAAATCTAGTACAAAGTACTTGTCATGCCTGGTGCTACGGGAAGGGGGAACTATGAACAATACTGAAATTTCTGGTTCTACTACAATAAGTAGAACCACAAAATTAACACAACTCATCTAGTAGCAATGGGAGATAAAGAAAAGTTTTATATATCAGCAAGCAGTTTAGAATTTCCTATTGGCATTCAGTTATTATAACCTATGGAGCACCAGCCCTTACTTGTGTACCTTGCCATCCTGCCTTTAAACCATAAGCAAGGAGCACACTGTAACCTGGAGAGCATCTTGGTGACGTATAACAACTTGATTATTTTCCCCCTGGTAAGTTTTAACCCTTTCTTAAAATTGACAGAAGTATTCCTGACTACCTTAACTACCTGCACTCACCACAATTATTACCCTAACTTTGGCTGTCAGTATAAGGAATAACCATTTACACTTGTTTCACCCGGGTCGTGCTGCTGAACTCTTCAGCTTGAATACTGCGATTTGTGAAGATTTTCAGTGTATTCTGGAGCCCATCTTTTTTCCCCGTGCGTCAGGAAAGCTGTAGTTGGAGGCATGTCTGCGGGTGCCATTGGACAGTTTTTCGCCAGCCCGACTGATCTGGTGAAGGTGCAGATGCAGATGGAAGGAAAAAGGAAGCTGGAAGGAAAGCCGTTACGGTTGGTTCCTCTCGAAGCTGGTGTATTTTTCCTGCTAATGATTACTCTTTGGCCAAGGGTGTTGTTCTGTTTTCTGCCATCCCCTCTCCCCAACTGCTGGGAGCCCTTTCAGGGGAAGAGCAGAGCCTGGGAGGCACATGATGGCTCTGGGCAGCGGAGAGGGTGGGGGATCCGAGACTTCCTCCTTATTCCAGTTATACACACCTTCCTTATGTCCTGGTCCCAGAGACCACAAACCCTCACCCATCCTACGTGTGCAGCCATGCCAGCGCTCTGCCAGGGGGAGGGAGGGATGATTGCTGGAAACAAGGATGGGGGAAGTGGCTCGTGCAGGATGCACAGGCGCAGGGAAGGCTGGGCTGCCCGCAGACAGCAGGGCTCGAGACCCTCCTGCAGATACCAGACTTTGCATCCAAAACTGCTGCCATCGTTTGATGTCTCGTACATTTAGTATAGCAGCCCAGCTGTGGGATCAAAGGGCTGTCTGTCATTAGCTGCTTAGCAGGGAAACCAGTACGTTTGGTAAGTCAAAAGATGGGTCAAAAAATGAATCAAAAAATGGATCCAGAGGGCCAGATCCTTGCAGGTATAAATTGCCTTTCCTATGTGAGGAGCTGGTGCAGCAAAGCACTGAAATATGCAAAGATTTCTCCATAGCTGGGCTGTCTACTTACCAGTTGCATAATGATTTCAGGTTTCGAGGAGTGCACCACGCATTTATGAAGATCCTGTCTGAAGGAGGAATACGGGGGCTTTGGGCTGGATGGGTGCCAAATGTCCAGAGAGCTGCTCTGGTGAACATGGGAGGTAAATTTCGTAACTTAGTCTGCAGCACTTAAGGCCACATCTAAGCTTTAAGGAGAGTTCAGACACTCCCCTGGTCTTTGTCTCCTGGTTATCTACACTGGGGACGTGTTTGAAGCGCACTACGGGAGGCTTCTGCCTTGAAGGTTTTGTTCCTGTCAAAATCAAGTTGCTTAAAAATCACCGTTTGTGCCTGAGCCTGAGGGAAGGTGAGCTGGGAGCTGATGGGGTCCCAGAGCCGGCACAGCAAGGACCTCACCAGCCACAACCCAGCTCCCTGGTGCCCAAGCAAGGTGAGCGGGGCAGAAGACAGCGCGGGCAGCCAGGTTCTTCCGAGATTCGGATCCTCAAGAAATCGTGTGGTGATGAGACAGGTCTGAGGCCGTGCTGAGCCAGCATCAGGTGTGGTGAGGGTGACCAGGGTCAGACACAGCTCAGTGACCACGAGCAGATCCATGAGGGGAGACAGTCCATGGGTCAGTGTCCAGATCAACAAGGCCCACAGCCCAGGCATGGTGTGATGGAGCTGCAGACAGGTTTCGGATCCTCAAGAAATCGTGTGGTGATGAGACAGGTCTGAGGCCGTGCTGAGCCAGCATCAGGTGTGGTGAGGGTGACCAGGGTCAGACACAGCTCAGTGACCACGAGCAGATCCATGAGGGGAGACAGTCCATGGGTCAGTGTCCAGATCAACAAGGCCCACAGCCCAGGCATGGTGTGATGGAGCTGCAGACAGGTACACCTACAGTGTAGCTCAGGCAGGGACTGAGGGTTACAAGGTGAAGTGGCTG